AAAAAAAAAAAATTGGTTTTACTTCAATGTTTATTCTGTTTTATATTAATATTGCCTGATAGGGGTGCCTTGGTGTCTCCATCGGTTAAGCATCTGCTTTCAGCTCAGGTCCTAGGATGGAGCTCTGCATCGGGCTCCCTGCTCAGTGGGGAGCCTGCTTCTCCTTCTCCTCCCTGCTCATGCTCTCTCTCGCTATCTCTGTTGCTATCTCTCTCTCTCTCTCTCTCTCTCTCTCAAATAAATAAAAATAAAATATTTAAAAAAATACTGCCTGACCAGCTTTATTTTGGTTAGTTTTACCTTTTATTACTTTAAATTCAATGTTTTTGTTTCACTACATTTTAATATTTCTTTTGTAAACAGACCTGGATTTTGATTTTTTCTTATTTAATTTTAATCTGAACATCTCTATCTTTTGACAAAGAAGTTTGGTCCATTTATATTAAGTGGATTACTGCTTTGGGGGGACTAATTTATAACGTATTATTTTGTGGTTTATATTTACCATGCTTTTCATTGCTTCCTTTTTCTCCTTTTAATACATTGAGTTTTTTGTTGTTGTTTTTATTTCATCTCTTAATTTGAAAGTTATGCATTCAATGCCTGTTCTTGCAATTACCCTTAAATTTTCACCAAGCATAGTTGATTTAGTATCAAGAAGCAATCAGTATTTCTATTTTCCTATTGAACAATAAGGTTCTTAGAATATTTTGATTCTAATCAACTGCATTTGTTATTGTTGTTCAATATTTTACTTTCACTTTGTTTATAATACTTTCAACATACTTTATTATTATAATTGATATTCTTGAATTTTAAATGAAAAATTTTAAATTTTAGACGTTATTCTTTCTTTAGATTCATCTACATTTTTAAAATCTTATTATGTTATATTAATCACCATACATTACATCATTAGTTTTTGATGTAGTGTTCCATGATAGATTCATCTACATTTTTACAGTTCCTTTGCACACCATTTTTCTTGCATACCAAGGAAATTATTAACTTCTTTTTAATAAAAACACACCCTTTCTTTGTTACTTAATGGATTATCTGTAAATGATAGAATTTTCAGTGTTTCAGGGTGCCTGAGTGGCTGAGTTGGTTAAGCGTCTGCCTTTAGCTCAGGTCATGATCCCAGGGTCCTGGGATCAAGCCCCACTTCATGCTCCCTGCTAGGCAGAAAGCCTGCTTCTCCCTCTTCCTCTTCCTGCTGCTCCCCTGCTTGTACTCTCTCTCTCTCTGTCTCTGTGTCAAATAAATAAATAAAAATCTTCAAAAAAAATAATTTTCAGTGTTTCTTAGAGTGTTTTTATTTTTGTTCATTTGAAAACTGATTTTTGCATTCCATTGAATTCTAATTTGACAGTTATTTTCACCAACTATTTGAAGATATTTCAATGTCTTTTAGCATCTATCACTATAATTTGTTTCTTGGCTTTTTTTATGGGTCATCTTTTTGTCTTCCTGTGTTAGCTTGTGTAGTTTGCTTCTAGAAGTTCTACTTTGTTGTTATTTAGGTCTACCTATTTTTAGTTCATTTTTTACCCTAATTCATCATGGTTTCTCTTTGTTTTATGCTAATTTTGGACAGACCTTTATTTTTTTCCTTCAAGTTATTTTATTTGTAGTGCCATTTGTCAGTTGTTTATATCTTCTGATGCTCCCTTGTGGTGGTTTGTTCCCTTGATTTTTTTATTGTGAGTTCATGTTTGACATGGGATTTTGGGGTTTTTTTTGTTTTCTTAGAAGGTTCCATGTACCTTGGGTTGAATATATTTTTTCTATGTGGCAATTGTACTTTTTTTTTTTTTTTTTGGCCAGGATCCCAAGGGCTTTAATTTTTCAGCTCAGACTCTCATAACATAGGGATAATATCAATCTAGCCCGCCATATCTTCACAAGTTACAAGGTAGCAATTTTCATTTTTATAAACAACTTTTTTTTTCCTTCCAAGAGACAAAGTCCTATAAGCAATCTTCCACACTATGTCTAGCAGCAAGTAAGAGTTTTTCCAGTCCATTTCGCTAACTGGATGGGACTTTAAAGATCTTGACTTTCTGAAAGGTCTTCATCTAAGCTTCTCTCTCAGTATTATCTTGCTTGTTCTTACATTGGCCTTAAAAATAGTCCCACACTCCTATGATTATATCTGGCTTTAAAATGTATCTGAGTGGCTGAGCTTTTGGTGAAACTGCTGCCCTGATTTTTAGTTCTCCCTTCATCTTACTTAGCTTTTCTTTTCTTTTTTGTTTGACTATGTATTCAAACATAATTTTAGAATCTTTAATCTAGCATGTTGACTATGATTGCATCTAAGGGTTGTCATTAGAGATGAATGCCTATTAACTCAACCTGCTATGATGCCAACACTGGAATTAAACTGTTCTAAAGAAAATAAAATACATTATGTAAAACTATTTTATTAAAAGTATGTTAAGAAAAGAAGTGAGATTCCAGGGATGGCTGGGTAGTTCAGTCAGTTAAGTGGCTTCCTTTAGCTCAGGTAGTGATCCCAGGGTCCTGGGATCGAGTTCCGTGTCGGGCTCCCTGCTTAGTGGGGAGCCTGCTTCTCCCTCTGCCTCTACCCCTTCCCCTCCCCCTGCTTGTGCTCACTCTCTCTCTCCCTCTCTCTCTGACAAATAAATCTTTAAAAAAAAAAAGAAGTGAGATTCCAGCAATTTATTTTTGATTCCACTTTTTTTTGTTGTTCTTTTTATTGACAATCTGTCTTGCTCTGAGTACTTGCTCTAATTGTTTGCTTTTGTCCATTTGAACAACTACTTTCTTCAAATTAACCTGAAAGACATAAAGTATTTACTGTATTTGGAAGTACAAAGGGCCTAATTGAGAGGAATTTGCTGTTACATTATATTCTATCCAGGGAAAAGGGAAGAATATGTAATGCTTTTTATATTTGTTTTCTTATTTTTTAATTGGTGTTTAAAATCCTTGGTAATATTTACTTACAAGATCACTTGAAGAATATGTTTTTTAACTTGGGCCAGGGATACTAAATACATGCCTTGACTCAGGTTTGTGCCCATTTGTATACCACTGTGATTCCATGCCTGGCACAGTCCTACCACATGGGAAGTATTCAAGTCATACGTTTTAAATAAATTCCATGGTATAACCAGATGAATGTGCCCACTGTAACTCTCCAAATACAGTAGCAAATATGTGATGTATAAGTTAGTCAATACCAGAGCAGTACTACTTAAAAACTGTCCCTATAACTCAGTGGCTTAAAACATTAATCCTTTATTCTTATAATGTTTTTTGGCTTCTGTAGCCTAGGTTCAGCTGGACTCATTCATGTCTGTAGGCAGAACATTGAAAATCTAGGCTGGGCTCACTGAAGACAGCTTGGCTGTGCTCCAGGTGTCTTTCTTCGATCTGTTAGGATCAGTGGGCTAATCCAGACATGTTCTTTTGAGGTCAGTGGGAGAGGCAAGGAGAGCAAGCCAACTGCTCAAGAGTATTTCAAGCCTCTATTTGCCTCATGTCCATTAATATCCCATTGGACAAAAAAGAAACATGGTCAGACCCAAGACCAATGAAATAAAAAGAGTATGTCTCCTAAGGAAGTGAGGGGGAGGGAGAGAATTTTTCTGAACAGTAATCCAATCTATCTCATGTGGTAAAGATTCAAAGCATATTAAGTCTGGTTCTCCAAAGTAGTTATCCTACTTAAATGTCCCTACTTTTGTAGGCATTTATCTACAATTATAAGAAGCATGAAGCTCTCCTTCTAAAAATCTACAGTCTGTTCTTATTATTGTGAATGACTACTCTTTTTTGAGTGCCTATCTCATGCGGTTGTGACTGATATACACTATCAGATTCAATCATTATCACATCCCAGCAAAATAACTATTTTATTCATCTTTACTTTCCAATTAAAAAAAAGTGGCTCAGAATACTTAAGTACTTGGCTGTAAGTCAAACAGCTAGGAAATGGTAGGGTAGGCATCCAAATCTAGTTCTTTCTGAATCCAAAGTTCATGCCTTATGCATCCTCTATGCAGTCTAGCAGCAGAGCTGATCCACTCTTAAAATAATCCGTGCTAATTTTCACCAATACAATTCTAAAGCTGCTTCATGGGGATGAGTTTTGAGCTCTGAATAAAACAAAAAACTGGTATGAAGATAAGATTAGTTTTTCAGAGGGCTGTGTTTTCTTAACTAACAAGAGGGATTAAAAAATACAGTATCTCTGATTGATAAATGAGATAAATTGGTTAGAATCGGATCAACTACTGACCTTTTCTGTAGCATTTTCCAAGTAATGTCAGTTTATTGCCACTGTCACCTTTACATTCTTTTAGCAATATTGTCTTCTTATTGAATATTTGTACTTCTGTTTATATTTTTTCCTAGAAACCTGGCTTACATTTTTCAAATGTACCCTATTTTAGTTCAAGATGTCCTGGAACCTTAGGCCTTCAAATGTTCTCAGATGCCAAAAATATATTTAAAAAAATTTTTTTAAGTAATTTTCTGAGCACCAAATCATAACTTAAAGTCTCTGTGTTCACCTTGTTGGAAATATCCTCAGTAAACAAACATCATCTGACAGTTTTACAACTCCAGAAAAAATAAATAAATAAATGCAGAATTGTAGGTTTATCACTGGGTCTGGATAAACCACACACACACACACACACATCACATCACTATTTACCATTTTCAAAATTGTGGAAATTTTAACAAGTTAATTGCTGATGCTTGAGTTGATGACGAAGTGTGAGTAGAAATTGGTGAATTGATGACTGGTAGTAAGAGTATAGAGTGGTAGCTAGTTTAGCCTTCAGTTATCTCCATCATCTTAGTAAAGCCATGTTATCCCCTCCCCCACAGTGAACCATCAATTCTCAGCTTCTCCCATGATCAAACTATCTGTTGCTTGTTTTGAACTGGCTACTGCCTCCTAACATTACATCTGACAAAGAAAAAACTTCACATTGATAGTTTATCGTTTCTTTTTCTTCTAGAAAGAAGGAACTAGACTGACGGGGAGAGATTCTGCTTTGGATTTTCAAAGAGCTGTGTGGACTGGGGAGTTGTAGTGTCAGACATGAGGAGTTTATTGATTTCAGGTATAAGTGTGAGAACACTCTTAGAAGATGAAGTACCCTAACCCCTGTGAGTCCTACTGTATAAGAGCCATCTTCCCTTCTTTCTTGCCAGCAGAATTCCAGTTTTACTTGTGCAGCCATATTGATAATCCCAGACCATTGTCCTGTTCAGAGCACTGCTCTCTGTGTGTAAGATACTTGGAACTCAAGTAGCTCTCCTACCACAAGCACAAAGCCTTTAGTGATATTGACACTGACTCAACTCCCTCACTTCCTTGAGCTCTTGAGCCAGTTCTGGAACCACTCCAGACTGATTGCTGTGTGAGATAATTAAATGTCTTTCATTATTTTAGCCTCTTTATATGGGCTCTGATATTTGTGGCCAAATGCATCTTTAAACACACCATATGTGGGAAACCCTAATTTTATCATTGAATAAGTTTATATGCATTTTGGGGGGACTTCTGAATGCATTATTACTTTCTTTGTTAAAATTCTCTCTTTCTTATTTGTTTATGTATTGGTCTGGGCATTGAGAAAAATTGATGAGCAATTCTGACTCCTCTATTTACCTGGTATTTGGTAGAGTGAAATGTGCCATCATTGTACCATAGTCTTTTTTATCAAGCAGCGTAATCATATTGAGTTTCTGGAATGCATTGAGGACCTTGAATGAAATTACTCAGCTTAGAATAAATGGAAAAAAAAATTTAAGTCTCAGTTAAAGATAATTTTTTTCTCAAATCTTTTTGTTATTTTTTAAGTATAAAAATGTGTTGAAATACAGAGAGAATGCTCCAGAGCCAGGATTCCAATCAAGTTATGGTGTAGGGAGGATGTAGTCAATACCAGTTTTCCTTTGAGGCAGTATGCCTGGACATTCAAATCTATGTGGAACCAATCCCTCCCTCCAAGAAGCCTGATTAGAGTTGAGCAGTTGTGTTTGTCTGACAACTATCTCTTTCAGTTAGCTCAAATTGCCAATCACCAGGTCAGGTTTTGCTAAAGAAGACTAGACTTGAAAACAATGAGAACTAGAATGACTTTTGTATAACCTGCACTATACCATACTTCTAGCTACCATGATCCCTGTGCCTGCATAGTTAATATTTTATATTTTTAATTTTTTTTTTAAGATTTTATTTATTCATTTGAGACACAGAGAGAGAGAGAGAGAGAGAGAGAGAGAGAGAGAGAGAGAATGAGCAGGGGGAGAGGCAGCCTCCCCGCCGAGCCAGGAGCCTGATGTGGGCCTTGATCCCAGGACCCTGGGATCATGACCTGAGCTGAAGGCAGACGCTTAACCATCTGAGCCACCCAGGGGCCCTATAGTTAATATTTTAAAAAACCATGGCTTCAGTGGGATTCAGGGTATGTCTTGGATTATCTGTAACTTTCCATGCCACATGTTTCATGGAGTGCTGTGTTCCATGACAGTTATCAAGTAGTGACTCAGCTTTCCTTTCTCCAGGCAAATTGTAATCATGCTCACCTGACCATAGACTGTGTCTGCATCAGTCAAAAAACATAAGGTACAGGGTACAGCGTCGTCTTTGGAAATCTCGTCGCACTTCCTATATCTTGCATATCTGAAGGATCTTGAATTTTTAACACAGTGTTTATGTGTTATGTTATTATAAATTATATTTATATTATTATATATTATATATAAATTTATGTCTTATATATAAATGTATAATTTATTATATTATAAATTATGTTAATTTCTCCAACCAATTAGGTTTAAAAATTATACAGTTTTGCACAGATGTTTATAGCTCAGCGTTCATAAAGTTGATTGTCAGATCTTTCTTTTTAAGTTGTGCCTGTGTAGCCTACCAATATTAGGCATGAAAGGGCTCCCTAACAGAAGCTTTCCAGCAGCTGCTGCCTTTACAAGGGAACCAACATCAGAGGCCTGGTGCCAAGACAGTTATAGAAAGCCACTACCCTTCATTCACTGGAGTGCTCTTGTGTCCAGTTTCCTCCACAGAAGACATCTTTTCCCTCCATCCACCTGCCCAAACACTGCCCATTCCTCATTTCCAAGGCACATGTCACTACCATTTTATGCAGCTAAATGGCTCTCTCCTTCCTCAGCCTCTGTGGCACTTAGCAGCTCTTTCTTATGGTGTTTCTTACTTTCCACCTTACACCAGAGAGATCTTTAAGAAAAAGCTTTGTTTACTTCACAGCTTGGTAACCTTAAGGGACGTTTCCAAGTTTTTCAGTTTCATCTTTTCTTGGTCCCTAAAGTAATACTATTCCTATCGTATACACTTATTAGGTAAATGTGAATGAATGCAAGAATAAACAATCATCTCTGAGCAGAAAGCAGGGAGACTAGTTAACCGGCCTTGAGGAATGTGTGGGATTTGGGTGGGAGAGATGGAGATGGGGCATTTCAGAACTAATGGAGGTACAAAGTGCAGGAATCCCCATCCTTCATCCGGGCCAAGTGCTGAGGAGGGAACTTGTAAGGTGCATCTGGGGAAATGGTACATGATGAGGAGCAGGGATCCTGTGGATAAAACTGGGAGGAAAGTGTTCTATATTAGTTGAGATGGGGGTCAGATTGCAAGGTTTTGGAATGGAGAGTGAAGTGTTTGGATTCTGTAGTCAGGATCAAATCTTGCAGTTTTTTCGTTTGAGAAACTTGATCCTTGGAGGTAGAGAAAAATGGGAGGCCAGTCTCTTGGGATATTGCTTCTTCAGGAAGAAATGAGAGCTGAGCCACATTGGTTTGTTGGAAGTGAAAAGAAAGGGAAATGTGGCAATGATCATGCAACAGGAATAGGAATTGGTGGTATGTGATTGCTTGGGCAAAGAGAAGAGGATGGAGAAGCTGATGTCAGGATGATAGTGCCATTAGGAGAAATGGCAAATATGCCAGTAGACACATGGCCAGTGGAAGGTGATGATTTCTGTTTCCAGGGTTGATTTTAAAGCCATCTTGGTGGAAGTCAAGAAAAGGGATGATAATCTTGAGAGAGAAATCTATGCTTGAGCTGTAGTTTTGAAAAGCTTTTATACTGATATCACACTTGAATTGCAGATGGCTAAATGCTCTCTGTGCATACAATGGGTTCTCATGGTGGGTGTGCCTGAGAGTAGAGTGTGAATTGGAGGTGTAAAGTGGGAGCAACTAAATCATTTGTGATTGTTCCTGGACTCTGTCCAAGTCCGTCTGTATGTCTTTACCACCCCCTATATGCTGGGGGTGCCAAACCTGGACTTACCCATCTTTATAAAGTCCAACTGGAATAAAAAGATTAAAAAATTTTATTTCCACTTTATAGGTTGGACTAACAAGGCTACTAACAGTCTCTTGAGCCGTAGCTTCCAGAATTCAGGTTTTCCACATATGAGGAAGTTGTATCACTTTAGGGTTATTTTATAATATAGCTCTCCTTTTAAGAACAAATTCCCTTTTGCCACTTTGGTTGTCTTCAGGAAAACACTGTTTAGGCGTATATGTAAAACGAAGTTCTCTTGAGTAATTGTTTCAGTAGAAATGTTGGGACTGTTATAAATTGTGCCTTTGGTGCGTACAGCTATTTTTGGTGTGTGTGTGTGTGTTTGTGTGTGTGTGTTTAACATTGTGATTATAAATGAAATATTTTATGAAATGAGGTCTACTAGCAAAAAAATGTGGACTGAGAATTAATGCTTGAATTTTGAACAAATGTTCTTTTATTAACAGCTGAGGGAAGGCTTAGTGACTTTAGCTTCTCAACATTGAGGAACTCATTAAGAAGAAAATATCAGGGTGACTGGGTGGCTCAGTTAGTTGAGTGACTGACTCTTGATTTCAGCTCAGGTCATGATCTCAGGGTTGTGAGATCGAGCCCCACATTGGGCTCCCCGCTGACCATGGAGCCTGCTTGGGATTCTCTCTCTCTCTCTCTCCCCTTCCCTCTGCCCCTCTCCCCATCACATACATGTGCACGTTCTCTCTCTCTAAAAAAAAAATCAAATATTGAATCCATATTGTACCAATTAACTTATAACATAGCCATTTTCCTGTTTTTATTTATTGCTTCAAATGAAGTTCAAAAATTTCCATCTTATGTTTTTATCTAGGAAATTTCCTAAAAGATAAGAATAAATAGTTTTTGGGTATTACTAAAACATACATAAAATTCACATTTATTTCCTTTTTTTATATGAAGGTTTTTATTTGCTTTTTAACTTTCTGCAAAGGATTTGAGATAGCTAGGTCAATTTCGGAGACTAAAGTTAACTGGAATTTTCTTCCTCCCTTGCTCCCCCTGCCTTCCTCCCTCCCTTCTTCCTTTCCTCTTTCCTTGTTTTCTTTCTTTTTTATTTTAAGGCTTGGGAGTGACTGGGGTGTCTATGTGAGGAAGGACCAGATTTTGGGGGAGTTGCTCACTGTGGGGAGGAGAGGAAAGTTTTTCATTTGAGAAACTTGGTCCTTGCTCTTTTAAGCAATGAAGAATGTAATTGTGGGCACCCTTGAGATCATATATATTTTGATAAACAGTTGTCTGTAAGAAGCAGACAATACTTCTGCCCTTTTAACATTTTAGGTCAAGGCTAAGTGTGGTAAGAACATTGCCTTGGGAGTCAGGTGACGGGGGAGCTGGTTCTGACCTAGCCCCTTAGGGAAGATTCTCTTAATCCCTCTGCTTCTGGGTTTCTTCCTCTGAAACTTGAAGCCAAGATGCTGGGTTCAATGATCTATGGTCCTTTTACTTTTAGAGATTCTGTGAAGCTATGGTTTCCGGAGACCTGGATCTTTTCAGTATGCTCCCTTTTCCATTAAAGCAGTAATTGAGAGCTCATGTTATGATTCAGAGGAAAGATCCTGGACATTTCCAGGTAAAGTTTTGGAGTCAATTCTGAGAAATCTGCACAAGCAAAGCAGTTTGACCCATCATCCCACAGTAAACATTGTGAATATTTAGGGGAGGGAGAAATTATTAGCTAGAAAGATCCTTCCAGATTGATTTGGTTATGTTCTACAGTATTTACAAACAAGGTATTTTTTTGAAATTATTTTTGAACAAAATATTAATGTTTAAAATCTAGGTTTCTGTCTGGTGAAGATCACTGTCACAATCAGCAGGCTGCTTTCCTTCCTATCAGAGAAATGGCAAGCTGTCTTCTCTCAGTGTTTGCTATTCTCAAAGATACAACCACTGGAATTTTGAAGTGGGTCAAACTGCTTTTAACCTGGCTACTGTTATTCAATTTTATCAATTCTTCCTTTTCTATTAGCAGAAAATCTGTTTCATGACTTCAATGTATAAAAGGTAGAAAGATCACAGAGCAGCCCTGAAGCAGATAAATATTGACCGAATCAAACAGGCATGCTGCCAACACTTGGAATGACTGGGGTTGTTGCCCTGGGACCAGGCCAGAAGAACGTTGAGGCTGTTCATGCCTGACTCGCTTTATGTCACGCATCTCCTTTTTTATTTTGTTTTGTTTTGTTTTTGTTTAGTAAACATCTGCTTTCTATTAGATTGTTTTATCCCCTTAACCTTTATAAATGACAATTAGGTCCATCTAGTCTGTCAATAGCATGTCATTTATTGGTTGCTACAGCTGAGCCTGACCTTCATTGATTTTATGGGAGTAATTTGCTGGAAATGATTTTTTAATGTTAGATTTATTACTGGGGCACTTCATTGTCAGATAATTGAAGCAAATTGTAATTTTTTTTTCAAACCAAATGCAGGAAGTAAGGGAAAGAGATAATATTATTTTCAAGGGTTATTTCCTATTGCGATGGAGACATACGTTATACATGATGTCATACACTTTTCAAATTTGTGTACACAGATCGTTTTTGAGTGTTGCATAAATTTTCTCTTTTTTGGTTTTTCCTTAAGTATAGCTGAGCTAGCAATAGGAGCTGGTAATAAATTAGCATTTGAGTATGACGTTGCAAATTAGATGGCTACATAAATTATCGAGTAATTATAATACCACCCCTTATATAATGGGTCTTGATATTTTTATTTAACTGCAGGTTCTATTATGAATAGACTGATGTTATATAATTAACATAAGCTTTACATAAGCTTATTGCATTCCTC